AACCTCCGAAAAGCAAGATGGGCTCTATTCTTTACTCGCTTCCGTTTCACTGTGACATACATTCCCGGACCCAAGAACATCAAAGCAGACGCACTTTCCCGTCTATCTGAAGAGGATCCCAAAATCGAAGATGACCAACCTATTATACCCGACTCTATGATTCTGGCACCCATCTCTTGGGATATTGATGCTGAAATTGCCCAATCCGCAGCTGAACATCCCTCTCCTCCTACCTGTCCAGCTAATAAGTTATTTGTCCCATCACCACTCAGGAGCAGATTAATGGATGCGATCCATACCAACCCCACTTCCGGTCACTCAGTCATCGCAGGCACCCTTGATCTCATTCGTAACCACTACTGGTGGCCCAAAATAAGAAAGGACGTCATTAACCTTGTGAAGAACTGTGCTCCCTGTAACATGAACAAACACTCCCGTCACAGTCCAGTCGGCCTTCTACAGCCTCTTGAGGTTCCCCGTTGCCCCTGGTCACACATAGCCATCGATTTTATTACTGATCTTCCCCTATCTATGGGTCACACTACCATACTCACCGTCATAGACCGCTTCTCCAAGGCTTGCAGGCTGATCCCCATACCGAAACTTCCCACAGCACTGGAAACCACTGAGCTCTTATGCAACCAAGTTTTCCGATTCTATGGGCTACCAGAGAATATCGTGTCTGACAGAGGTCCCCAATTTACTTCAAGAGTATGGTCTGCTTTCTTCAAAAACCTCGAGATTAACATCAGTCTAACTTCTGGATATCATCCCCAGTCCAATGGCCAGGTGGAGCGGCTAAATCAGGAAATCGGACGATTCTTAAGAATCTACTGTCATCAGCATCAAACCAGTTGGAGTCGTTTTCTGATGTGGGCCGAATATGCCCAAAAGTCTCTTAGAAAAGCAGCTACTGGCCTAACACCGTTCCAAGTCATTCTAGGCTTTCAACTGCCCCTGTTCCCATGGTCTGGCGAACCATCCGAACTCCCTGCCATTGATCATTGGTTTCAACAGTGTGAGACAACCTGGAACGCAGCCCATACACATCTCTTCCATGCAGTCCGAAGATTTAAAGAACAGGCTGATCGTCACCGCCGTCCCAGTCCCACTTGCACTCCTGGTCAATGGGTTTGGCTTTCTACCAAGAACCTTCGCCTTAGACTCCCATGCAAGAAGCTCAGTCCCAGGTATGTTGGTCCTTTAACTATTGATCGACAAATTACACACGTTTCCTACAGACTTAACCTGCCAAATCACTATCGCATCTCTCCTACCTTCCATGCATCACTGCTCAAGCCAGCTACTGGACCAGCCGAGGTGGATAAGGAGGTGGCAGCCGGTGATCAGGGTCCCCCACCAATCATCATCGATGGAGAGGAGGCGTACCAGATCAATGAGATCCTGAGGTCCAGACGCCGGGGGGGACATCTACAATACCTGATCGACTGGGAGGGGTACGGCCCGGAAGAACAAACATGTATCAACCACAAGGACATTCTTGACCCAACTCTGCTAAGTGAGTTTCATCGTCTACACCCGGAAATGCCGGCCTCTCGTCCCTGTGGTAGACCCCGGCGTCGTGGCGCCCTTCACTTCAGGAGCCGTTCGCAGGAGGAGGGCTCTGTCACCGACTCCGTCCTAGTCATTCCCCTCGCTGGCCAGCAGAGGTCATCATCACCGGACTATTGACATTACGTCATCCACTTACACTGATTGCAGACACACCTGACACGCATCCAGCAATCACTTTCCACACACATATAAGCAGCACACACATACTGCTTCATTGCGAAGTCTTGTTTTGCCCCGGCTAACACTACTGAGCGTTCTCATCCTTGCCTGCCTTCCCGTTGTGATCCTGCTTCGTTTACTGATCCAGTCTTGCCTGCCGCCTGCCTTGTACTTCAGCCTGAATCCCGACTTTGATCCTAGCCGCCTGCCTTTGAACTCTAGCCTGCTTACCAACTCTGATACTAGCCGCCTGCCTTTGACCCATGCCTGCTTACTCATCCTGTGTTTACCTGCCGCCAGCCAAACGACTACATACTACTGTGTTTGATGTGAGTTTGCACACGCACAACATCTGTGTGCTACTGTTTATTAAACTGTGTTTAATAAAAATACTGCAAATGGATCCCTCTGTGTCAGCCACCTCTTTACACAATTATTACAGGAATAGATAAAAGTATAGCAAGATTGAAAATATTAATAATAATAGTAAATAAATAAATAAATAAAAAGAATAAAATAATAATAATAGTAAATAAATAAACTTTAAAAAATAATTAAAATAAATAATTATCTACAGTACATGATAATACAAATCAATATTCTGTTACATTTATAGTGGTCTTTTACATAAATATCAAACTAAACTATTTTGGTGATCACAGTTAAACCTGTTTGCACAGATTTATTTATATAAATCAGTTAAAGGAGAGAGTCTTCCTTCTTTCAAAATATATGATCATAGGTTGCCATGTCATAGGTTGCCATTTTTGGACAGATCCCTTCATTAAATACTTAATTTTCTCTAATTTCAAATATAAAATCAGATCACACATCCACATTGAAACTTTATGTGAAGCTGCTGATTTCCACTCAAGTAGAATTCTTCTCCTTGCTAACAAAGTAGCGAAGGCGAATACATTTTTTTCCTTGTTTGTCAACAATATATTGTGTTCTGGTACCCCAAAGATAGCTAACTCAACACTAGGTATTATCTCTAAATTAAAGGCGTCATTTAATGTTTTAAATATTTGTGTCCAATAGTCACTTAACTTTTAACAAGCCCAGAACATATGGAAAAAGTCTGCCTTTTTACTTCTAGATCGATCACACACTTCATCAATAGAAGGATATATTTTCTAGAGTATACATTTTGTGTAGTAGGATCGATGAATAATTCTAAATTGTTTGATATTGAGGCGAGCGCAGGAAGTGGAGCCATTTTCTCTACTCAGAGCCTCTTCCTATATTTCATCAGGAATTTCAGTTCCATGTGTACATAGTTTAGGTGATAAATTAAGAAAGAAAGAAAGAAAGAAAGAAAGAAAGAAAGAAAGAAAGAAAGAAAGAAAGAAAGAAAAAGAAAAGGGTTGACTGGGTGCCACAATATGACAAAAAAGTACACAATTGAATTGTAACTGATAAGCAACAAATTAATATGATCTGTTTATTTTTGATGATATACAAAACAAATATGAGTGTATTAATTTTCTTGTTTCTTATAATGTCCTTAAATCATTAATGTAACTTCCATTTTTAATAATGGAATTTTTTTGTATTTTATAATTCAATTTATTTCTACAATTTTGTGAATCCGATGTTTGATTGTTTTGTGAACATGGAAGACCCTATTTGTATGTAAATTTGGAAACTGCAATGAAAAAATAAATGAAAAAAGAAAAGAAAATTATCTAGTAAAATATTATTCACTGTCATCATGGCAAAGATAAAATAACTCAGTTATTAGCAATTTGTTATTAAAATAAAATTTTCTTAAATCCTCTCACTCATTTGCCCAATTTTTAATTGAAATTAATTCCTTACTTAAAGCTATATGTTTGTCTAACAACAAAATTGTCCAAGTTAATGGAAACTTATGAAAATATTATGCTTCCAGTAAGTTAGTCTTTTATGCTTTCTGTTTTTATATTTCATTTTGTACTTCCCTTTTCTTTATTTTGTTCTAATTTTTTCCTTTTTATTTCTTACTTATTGTTCTTTTTACAGGCGACGTGGTGATACTGTCCCCTCACAGCAAAAGATTGCTGGTTCGAGCCTTGGCTGGGTCAGTTGCCGTTTCTGTGTGGAGTTTGCATGTTCTCCTCACATTCGCGTGTGTTTTCTCCGGGTGCTCTGGTTTCTCCCAGAAGTTCAAAGACAGGTGGTACAGATGAATTGGGTGAGCCAGGGATGTCAAACTCAAATCCTGAAGGGCCGCAGCCCTTCACAGTTTAGCTCCAACCCTACTTAAACACACCTGAGCAAACTAATTGAGTCCTTCTGACTTGTTTGAAACCTACAGGTAAGTGTGTTGGAGCAGGGTTGGAACTAAACTGTGCAGGGCTGCGGCCCTCTGGGGTAAGCTATAGTCCATAGTGTATGTGTGTGAACGAGTGTGAATGGATGTTTCCCAGCGATGGAAGGGCATCCGCTGCGTAAAAAAAATGTGCTGGATATTGCTGAAGGTTGGCGTTTTGTTCTGCTGTGGTGACCCCGGATTAATAAAGGGACTAAGCCGAAAATAAAATGAATGAATGAAAGTTCTTTTTACTTTGTGACTGCATTTAGCCTGTATCTTGCAGATTACTTCCATATTGTAATTTTTTTTCGTTTCTAAATAAAAGTATATACATATACTAGTATATAATAGTAGCTATGCTGAATTGAGAATTATTAGCCCCCCTTTGAATTAGTTTTTCCTTTTTAAATATTTGTAAATAGTTATTATAAATGAGTCATTAAAACTATGTTTAGAAATGTGTTGAAAAAAAAATCTTCTCCGTTAAACAGAATTTGGGTGAAAATATATACAGGGGGGTTAATAATTCTGACTTCAACTGTATATTGATAGATAGATAGATAGATAGATAGATAGATAGATAGATAGATAGATAGATAGATAGATAGATAGATAGATAGATAGATAGATAGATAGATAGATCTACATTTTAATTTTAGCTAACAACAACTTTAAAAGCTAAGGGGGGGGGGTACTACCCAATCCCAGGAATGATGCACATGTATTTTATTTACAAAGACAACGCAGAAAAGTTGCCGCGCACCAGAACAGAAGCAGCAGCCGAATACAGTCACGTGGGGGGCGTGTCTTCTCAAGTGCAGGGAAGCGGGCCCGTGTCACGTGACGGGGGAAATAGGGAGGCTCTTGTGTTTACATCAATGCATTCAACAGCGGCCGCTGCAGACCGTCTACTCATCAATGTTTTGCTTTCATTTCTTTGAAAACGAGTTCGCTAATCGGCACACACGGTAGTTCCGACCCCGTCCGAGCACAACACCGCTGCGTGAAATAGAAAGCGCGCGCCTGCTGCAGCTGTGGTCTGTTGTGTATTAAATTACTGGCGTCATGGACGAGCTCGCGGTGGAAGTGCGAGGAGCGAGTGGAGCTTTCTACAAGGTGGGCTTCACTTTTCATCATTTACAAGCCGTCCGTTTGTGTCTTGGTCACTGAATAAGGAAAATGGGGTTTGGAAATGCGCTTGAGCCCGTCGTGAACGCAGTTCACAATGTAGGATGGTGCAGTAGGCCTGATCTGCCTATAACACAAGGCCTCTTCGACGGTGTGTTTGAATGATCAGGCTTTAAATATTTATCGCAATAATCTGACATTATACATGTTGTTAATGGTTATCAGCAGTGTTGGCAGAAGGATCTGTCTGCGAGCTGGTTCAATTCTGGTTGAGTCTATCTGTGATTCAATGAATGCTCCGCTTTTGGGCGATAATTTATATTAATGTGTAACATCTGTATAGTTTTGATACATTTAAAGCATAACTTGTTGTCAGTATAAAAGTAAATGTTTATATAGTATAACATATACGTTTCCTATAATAGTATTGATCTCTTCAGTTTGAGTGCTGCGAAATATGTACGTTCATTTAAAAGTCCCTATATTGTTTACTATGTTACTTTGAATTTTTATCGAAACTAGCTTGCAGATTTGACTTGAAAACAACATTAACACTAATTCACTGTGAACAATTTTGTACTTTAATGGTCATTTGCTGCTAATATGATTTCCCTATTTAGAATTTGCAAAGAATACTTTTCTGAAATTTTATTATTAAGGAGAAAGTCTGATTATCCGAATATAAAACTAACTTTACCTCTATCAATTTAGGACTATGAACTGCTATTAAAAATTGTAGAACTGTTCGTAAATAATTTTTTATTCATGTTCAAAGACAACCAGAGGGGAAAAAAAACATTGAAATAAATAAGTATACAAAGTCTAAATTGCAAAATATACATATCTATACTTGTATGCATAGAATGCATTTTAAATTAGACACTACTTTTGAATTTAATGTTACTTTAAATGTTTCCAAAAAGAAAAAGTGCAAAATAAAATGTCAAAGTTGTACAGAAATGTTTCATCTTCATTTAGTATATCTGACATAATTATGTACCAATCAAACAACAAAACATTTCTGATTATTCTAGTTTATTATCAAGTGATGATGCCTTATAATATTTAAAATTATAATCCTCTTGCTGACAAATAGTTAACCTTGTGGCTTCAATGATAGTGGTGATGTATAAAATATTTTAACTTAAATATATGTCCACAAATGATTCTTGCTCTTAATGTGTCATTATTATTATTATTATTAATATTATTATTATATAAGCCTACCCAATTTACCTATATCGCATGTCTTTGGACTGTGGGGGAAACCGGAGCACCCAGAGGAAACCCACGCGAATGCTTGGAGAACATGCAAACTCCACACCAAAATGCCAACTGAGCCGAGATTCGAACCAGCGACCTTCTAGCTGTGAGGCGTCAGCACTACCTACTGCGCCACTGCGTCACCCTATTATTATTAGTAGAAGTAGTATTTATATTTACTATTATTGTCACATTTTAGTGAACAGATTCTGTACACCACAATGTAGTGAAAAATGGGGATGTATATTTTATCTATCTGATTAACTTATTTATTTGTTTGATTTTTGTTTGTTATTATTGAATAGTTTGTATTATTTTGATAACAGTTTTTTCTGGTCACATTCCACTCTGTTATTTTTAATCTTTATCTAGAAATTGACTTGTCTGTATTTATGTACCGCTAAAAAATATAATGCAACAGTCAACTGAATTATTGTTTAAGAATGAATGTTAGAGTTCTGTAGATATAAACAGTCAGCACTGAATCATATGCTCCCATGATGCCCAGTAAATGCTGTCCAGCTTTTGAGGTAATAATACTTTATTATTTTTTGCAGGCTTATATTAAGGATGTTCATGAGAGTACTGTCACAGTGGCTTTTGAGAACAAGTAAGTACTTCGCAAACTCTTAATTTATTTATTTTCCTTTGTATTGCGATATAAATTTTCATATTTAGAAATTCAGTATAAATTTAGATGCCTTAATTCTCTTCTTATTTCATCTCAATTGTTTATTCAATTAATGAGTCTAGATATTCTAATATAAAAAAATGAACAGTGAGCATCACTTTATAAATGTTGAATTAAATGAATGAAGAGCTACAGACTCATTATTATTATTATTATTACTATTATTGTTATTATTATTGTTACTATTATTGTTATTATTATTGTTATTATTATTAAGCTCTTTTTATTTTATGTACACATTAATGCATTAAAACAAAACTCACTTCAATTTCAGATGCATACAATGAGTAGTCTAAATGTGTAATATATAAGAATATTGCATAGCGGACGTTGAATTGACCATGTTTATTTATATATTTTACACTTGCTCAGCCCTAATATAAAGGTAAAATATATTCCCATATTTTATCACTATGCAGTTGGCAGCCAGAACGACAGATTTCTTTCCAGGATGTTCGGTTTCCACCTCCAACCGGTTTTCAGAAAGAAATAAATGAGAGCGATGAAGTGGAGGTATGTGATAGCTTCTTTAATCCTTTACCAAATGTTAAACAAATGCGCTGAAGTTTTAAACCTTTCTCTTCCGCAGGTGTACTCTAGGGCTAATGATAAGGAACCCTGTGGATGGTGGCTTGCCAAAGTTCGCATGGTGAAAGGAGAAGTAAGTGATTTAAACATTATTCACTTTAACAGAAGGACAAAATTGCATTATTACACTGGTAAAAAACAAAAAAACAAAAAAAAGGGTTTTACACAATTCATGAACACACAAATTATTAAGTTCTCTCTCTCTCTCTCTCTCTCTCTCTCTCTCTCTCTTTCTTCTCTTATTTTTGGCAAATTAAAGTGGATTGAACATGAAACAATTAAGTTGTCCCAAAACAAATCTCAAAAATTGTGTTGTTTAAGCTATTTTTAAATAATTAGTTTAAACAAGCAATTTTTTGAGTGTTCACTGTAAAAATGAAGGCTTCGACACTTATCAACATTTATTCATGTTTTGCCAATACAAATCGATTAAGGTAACTCTCTCTCTTTTTGGCAAATTTAAGTTGATTGAACATAAAAGAATTAAGTTGTCCCAAAACAAATCTCAATAATTATTATTTTTTTGTTTATTTAGCTTGTTTTAAATAAGTTTGAACAAGCCAGTTTTTTTTTCGTGTAGTAGATTAAAACATTAAACATTACATTGATTCAAATTTGTTTTATGCTTGCATGAAGTTGTATGTAAATTTATGTATTTGCTAATTATTTGTGTTCACTTTCCTGCTCTTTTAGTTTTACGTTATAGAATATGCAGCCTGTGATGCCACCCTAAATGAAATCGTCACATTAGAGAGGCTACGACCTGTGAACCCCAACAAAGCAGCAACAAAGAACACCTTTCTCAAAACCAGACTAGATGTTCCTGAAGACTTGAGACAGATGTAAGTTGGTAGCTTTTTCATTATTTTAGTGGGGATTCCTGCAGCATTGGACAATACATTGAGAAATCCAGTCATAAAAAAATCATTAACTAATGCAGGATGTCATGGAGTTTGGCCAATTTTGGATAAATAAATCAAAAGCAGAGTTTTAAACTTAATCAAACTACAAAGCAGAATAGTGTATGTGAATATTAAACTGCAATGACAAAATGTGAACTTCTCTCCAGAGCTGCTTTAAAAATCCTTTATGATAATTTTTATGGTTTAATCCAGGACCACAAAACCATAAAAGTCATAAATGTCTTTTTTTTTTTTAACTGTGATTTTATATATCTTCTTAAAGCCAAATAAGTAAACTTTTCATTGATGTGTAATTTTTTAGGTTAAGACAATATTTAGCCCAGATACAACTAATTGAAACCTGGAATCTGAGGGTTCAAAAATATCTAAATATTGAAAAAAAATGAGTTTAAACGATTGTTTAATTAATTGTTTTTAAATACCTGTTAATAGTTCAAAAGAAAAAAAAACTTTTTTCTTATTTATTTAATGTAGGAAATTTGAAAAAAAAAATCATTATTTGATTTTTTTACCTTAAATATTATATATTAAAAATATAACTTTTTAAAATATTTTATTAAGGTTTTGTACGATATTCTAAAAATGTGAAAATTGCGATATTTTATTTTTTCAATAAATATTACAATATGAATGCAGTTTTACAAAATGGTTTAAACAACTTTTTTTTTTTTTTTTTTTTGAGTAGTCTAACAGTATTCTGGTATGTATTCTCTATTCTTAATCATTTATTAACCATACGAAAACAATTAAATACAATGAATCTTTGTTTTACCTTCAAACATGATACTTTTTTGTGCCCAGATGTTTAAAACTCTCTTTAAATGCTCAGTCACAGGCCTTAAAACACATGATTATTATAAACCTTCACTCTATTATGATTAAACTTAGCAGTGACTTTACAAATAAGATGTGTTCTGTAGCTCCTGGCAAACTATATTTCAGACTAAGCATTGCATATCTTGCGCTGTGATTATTGTGAATTCGCACATGGCGATATCAATGCTGAAACAATATATTGTACAGCCCTATTTTGCATGAAAAAAAATAAAGAATTTTGATCCATGCAATTTATTTTTGGCTATTGCTAAAAATATAACTTCAACTTAACATTGGTTTTCTGGTTCAGGGTCTCATATAGAGACTTTATATCATGTACACACAAACTTACAGTTACAAACAAATGTTAGGCTTAATCTACTTTTTATGGTGCTTTTGTTTTCATTGTAGTTGAAAACAATTTGAATGATGTAGGTCAAAAGGTAAAAATAGAACTCAAAAAAGATTGATATTACAAATGTTCAGTTCAATATAATAGGTAATTATTGATAATTAAATATTTATTTATGGGATAATTATTCAATGCTTCTTTCATTTTTAATGGTAACAGGAGTAACAGAATTTATTTTATTTCTATTTCTTTTTTTATTGTTTAACTACTAAAAACATTTTAATGGAGTCCACAAAAAAATAAAAATGCCAATGTAAAACAATATTTTGAAAAAGTTTTCTGAAAAATGTGCCTTTAGTAACTTATTCTTTTCCTGTTTGTTTGTTTCTTTAGGTGTGCAAAAGACTCAGCACATAAAGATTTTAAAAAAGCAATTGGAGCGTTTAATGTCACTTACGACTCTGAAGAAAAGCAGTTGGTTATTTTGGTAATTTGCAATGTTTTACAACACACTTTTGATGTGCTTTTTTATTTTCTCTCAGGTTTTTAAGTTTCATTGTCTCCTCTCTATTCTAGTCTGTTAATGAGGTTACAGCAAAGCGAATATCCATGTTGAGTGACATGCACTTTAGGAGTCTGCGCACAAAGCTGGCGCTGATACTGAGGAATGAGGAAGCAACCAGACAGCTGGAGGTACGGCTATGGATGTTTAGTGTCAAGTTAAATCCACTCCTTTACAACTGGTTAGCAAAAATCTAAAGCTAATACTCTAAAAACTGTTTTCATTGCTTTTTAAGGGGTCTTAGAAAGTCTAAAAAAGTAATTATTAAAATGTAAGTCATAGACAAAACGGTAAGAATCCTAAATTATTTAACAAAAATTTAACTGAAAAATCATATTTAACTTTGAATATATCTTTGTGGGAATTTGATTTATTTCTATTCTTTATATTTGTAATACCTCTAATACTCTTATAAATATGATTTAAGAGCAATTTAGATTTAAAATGTTTTAAATAAATTTAGAATGAAAAATGTAGTTTTTATTTCACTACAATTTGCTGTATTAAGACTACAAATGATGTTCAGTAGGTCTTTTATTTAATTAATAATGGTGTTCAAAAGGTCTTTAAAAGACTTCAGTATAACTTGATGAAACCTGCAGAAACCCAGTAGTTTAATGAAATATACAGTGGAAGTCAATATTATTAGCCTTGTGAATATTTGTTGTATACTTCTGTGAATATTTGTTTATTTTTTAAATATTTCACAAGTGATGCTTTACAGAGCAATAAAATTTTCGGGGTATTTCCAATAAAAACATTTTTGTTCTGGAGAAAATTTGTTTTATTTTTGCCTGGAATAAATACAGTTTTTATTTTCTTAAAACATTTTAATGTCAATATTCGTAGCCCTTATTATTATTAGTACAAAATGTTAAACAATGGCTTGTCTAGTTAACCCAATTAATGTAGCTGAGTCTTTAAATTACGCTTTAAGCTGAATACTTAATACTTTAATATCTTCAAAAATATCCTGTAAAGCACTGTCATTATGGCAAAGATGAAACAAATTGGTCATTATAAATCAGTTATTAAAACTATTGTTTTTAGAAATGTTAATCTTCTCTCCATTAAACAAAACTTGGGAAATAAATATTAAGAATAAAAATGTAACAGTTGGGCTAATAATTCTACGTTAAAAATTTATTTATATATATATATATATATATATATATATATATATATATATATATATATATATATATATATATATAATTTTTTTTTTAATGTAAACTTATTCATTTCTGAAAAGAGTGATGGTGTAATATCATAAATTCAGTCATTAATTTTTTTACATTTAGTATGTCTTGCAGTGTGTCACTGGTGGTGGAGATGGTCTAAATTTAACAGGTGTAAAAGGGTATTACGTGCATATGCTCAGCTGTGATGGCCCATACTCCTGCTCCTGCATAATATGATACCCTGTTGATATACAGAGCTATATTTACAGATGCATCGACTCCATATAGGTATTGTTTGAGCCGTTTAAATATGTTTCTCTGTAACTCTGTGCTAACACTTTTTAATTGCAACTTGTTGTGGGGTTTAAAAAAAAAGAAAATTAATCAAATTATATAGAATACATACTTAAAAAAAAAAGCAGACTATGTGCTATACAGAAGTATGCTATATGATATGATATGATATGCTATGTTGTGAGCTCTATATGCAGCACAAGTTTCATAATAAAAACAACATTTTGTATGTTTATGTATTTCATAAATTAAGACAGCGGTTCCTAACATTGGGGCCCAGCCCACAAGGGGGCTTTAGCGTGCTCTGTGGGGGGTTGTGTCATAAAAAAAACAATAATAAATTAGTATTGGACAATTGAGGGAATGTTCATGTTGCCTTGGTTCATTTTATCCACCTAGCTGACCAAAAAATGGACAAATTTGTACAGAGTCTCACTGATTTGCCTTCAGTAGCTAATAGTAATGACCCAAGCATACTGGACCCAGGTGAGGAAGCTCCAAACATTTTGGGTCACAGCATTAGCAATACTGGAAACAGGAAATACCAAGATAATTACCCGAGCTTCGGTTTTATTCCATTTTCTCAGGCAAAGAGATATAAAAGAGTTGCTTTTATATTTTACATCAGGCTATTATTTGTGCCTAGCATATCTAGTTATAGCAATAAACATACTGTTTGCTTGAAAACAAACATTTTTGTCATACCTACTGCAAACTAATATGAGCGATAATATCATTAAATGTGAAGGTGGGCCTTACAATATTTTCTGGGGGAATAGTGGGTCTCAGGTTTGGGAACCACTGAATTAAGAGATGAGTGGTAGTGCTGTAATTAAGTTAAATCAAATGTTGTTTTACTGCTCCTATTTTAACATTACCATTGCATTATACCAGTATTTTTTTCCTAATTTGGGTAACACTTTATTTGTCATAATCACAGAATCATTATTAAATTATTGTCATTTTATGTTTGATGAAATTGTTGGAATGTACCACAATTTGAAACACCAAATACACCAATTAAAAAGTGTACTTTATTGTTGCAGGATTTTGAATAGCTTATTTAGTTACTAATTTTATAAAGCTATTCAGATCACTGTATGGAAATGTCAGCGATTTACATGATCCTTCAGATATAATTGTAAAATGCTAATTTACTACTTAAACATCTGTTATCATTATTATTATTATTATATATTTTTTATTATTACTATAATTGTTATTATTAACTTTATCGATTTTGTTTTAAAAATTTAAATCAACAGCCTTTATTGGGAATATAAATGTTTTTTATCACCACGTTTAATTGACTTAAAGCATATTTTATTAATATTAAATATATTTATTTTGAAACAATATTCAAAAATTTTTAATTAAATAATTATTACTGAATCAAGTAATTGGATTTATGATGCTAAAAAAATCTGCTTTGAAATCACCGGAATAGGTAAATTTCTGTTCAAGTTCTGTTTCATGTTTTATTCTAAAACAGTTTAATAATCAGTTCTAATAGTTAACTAATTTTAAAATAGTAAATAAGGATTTAAGCTATAATATTACATTAAATCATGTTGTTATGCTTCTAAAAGACCTGTTCTTTGAGTTAAAAATTATAATGATGGACATCATTCAGTTATCACCACATATTTTAAGCTCATAGTTAAAAATTTTTTGTTTGCGTTAATATGTTTAATATGTGTGTGGATGTTTCCCAGAGATGGGTTGCAGCTGGAAGGGCATCTGCTGTGTAAAAACTTGCTGGAAAAGTTGGCGGTTCGTTCCGCTGTGGTGACCCCAGATTAATAAAGGGACTAAGCCGACAAGAAAATGAATGAATGAATGAATTAATTAATTTGCAAATTAATGCAAATGATGCAGTGCTGGATTTTTTTACTAAAAATACTAAAAAGACTGTTTGTTTGCCTGGTGCTTCTTTACTCAAGGTATTTCATCTCACTTGTGTATCAGGCTGTGTAGCAATGTGGAGACTGATTTGTAGATATCCATATATGCAAAGTATTTCACATTATAGACTCTAGTTGATTCCATATCAAAGGGTTCATTTTTTTTGTTCATTTGGTATAAAAGACTAGGATAATATTCTCTATAACAATAAATTATTTTTTTCACATATTATTCATTATTGCAGCACCTTTGTTTTTAAGCAAAAAGTGCTCTGATTTAGCCGCATTTCCACTGTTGGGCCAGTGCGAGTCAGGGGTTTTATCGGGCCGGGCCAATCACCCGGGAGGTTGCGCAGTGAGGCCAAAATCATGTCGCGTTTCCACTGTCGGGCTAGTAGCTCGCAGCGCGTCATGCAAACCCCACCCCCAGAATGTCGCCCGAATTAAACGTCACACAACCAGCCCTCTTCAGCGGGAATTAGGCTGATAAAGCTCACCATCACACCATCACGAAACCAATCAAATGAAGACAACCAAAACAAACAAATGACATGTTACTGTACAGCAGTACAGTATATGTCTATACGCACATGCCTGTGTGTTCTCATTCATCATATTCATTTACTCGCCGACCAACTGTTGGCATCTTGCATCGAGTGGTCACGCCACTAACGGAGGGATGACCCAGCGCATCATCCATAATATAAAACCACAGAAATTCTCTTTTAATAACTCGGTATGAAATGTATTTTATAACATCCTCGTTTTGATAGATGCCGTCAAACATTCAGCCCAAATGCTCGGGATAGACCTGAAATGTATTTATTTTTTCCTAGGTTTATGACACCTAATGTAATTCCCCTTTATTTGTTGAGGTTGCATTATTTTGTGATTTTTAAGTAAAGGAAGGTGTTAAGTGTTTCAGCACATAAGAGCAAGTAATAAAATATAGCCTTTATTTTGTTGCGCTCAGCAGCTTTTCACTAATAAAGTTCTTCATGTATTTAAAATTTCATTTTTAAATTTCACCGCGTCATATAAAAACATAAACACTTGTCTGAGGACACATAACACATTTTGTATTTGCAATATTCCCCAATCCGTTTGTAAAGTGGCTCTGGAAAAAAGGTAGCCTAGTTTCTGCTTTCACTCACCCAAAAAATGCTGTTTGCAGGTTTTAAACAACATCATCGTATCTAAATACTTTATAATTAATATTTTAAACCTTCTCCAGTGTTAATTGTTTTTTGTGTATTATCTCCAAAATAATTAAAGAAAGAAGCCACTCACGGCATCAGGCTGTCAAGCAAGCGCTCTTTTGCTCGGTCTCACATTCACATACAGGCATTTAACGAGCATGTATCATGCACACGTATCTTTTAAACTTGACAAAACTGGCTGCTGTGTCTTTAATATGGTGTAAAGATTATGCGTTATTAAAACATCAAGGAGGACACAGCAAAGAATGTCACATAATTATTTTATGCAACATCCTTATTTATTATTTTTTTATTTGTTTGCCGCATGTACTCATGTGCGATTATAAAACTAGTGTAATGAAGGCAAGCTATCTTTACCAGACTCTGGCAAAGTCCGCCTCTCCTTTCACTCCGCCCCGAAGCCCCGGCTGGCCCTCTTTGGCCCAAGGTATTCGGCGGGCTCAAAAAGGCTGGCCGCTGGCCCCGAGTAAGCCCCGCTTTGGCCCGATTAGGCCCCGGAAGTGACAATGGAAATGCGACTGGCCTTGGCTTGCCCTGGCTCGCTTGCTTTAGGCGCGATAGTTTTAACGTGGCTAGTGTGTCTTACTTTCTGCTCTTAAATTTCTCTCTAATTAAAATACTCCTGTGATTATCTTTTCTTTGCATTTCCTACATCAATAGTATTGCTGAGCAAAGTTGAGTTTTTGGTCTTATTTATGGTCTGCTGAAAGTACTTTCTTAATTTTAATAAGTTGACTTTTAGAATTTAATGGATGAAATATGAGTAGAAGAACACCTTATTGTACCCAGATTTTAAAAACACCTCACTAATTGTTTTCAGTGTAACATGGGTTACTCTCATAATTCATGCAAAGCATCATGGGTTGTTATAAAATTTTAAAAGCAACTTCAAAAGCAGTTAAAACAAAGTAAAACATTATGCTCATATTTATTATTTCAAATCAATGCAGGTACTCAAGATAAACAATTTGCACACAAGACATTCATTTTCTAGATTGTGTTCTATAAAAGCCTACTGCAGCTGTCTCTATTAGATTGTGTAAATCCTTTTGAAAGAAGACCATAAGCATTTACAGCTTAGCAGATATCATAAAAGCACAAAAGACACACTTTATACACTAAAGAAAAAGAAAACCGTTGCAAACCTATTGTATGTATGACCTTCTCAAGCACAACAAATGTATATTGAAAACCAAAGCATACTCTATATAGATCTAAACCTAGAGATTAACAAAAGTTGAATATCAGAATATTAAAAACAGGTAAGATTCAAAATCTTGTTATATCTTCATCAGAGTTCTCGGCAGCTGGCCTCAAGGTTTCATGAACAGTTTGTGGTGCGGGACGATCTCATGGGATTGGCCATTGGCACCCATGGAGCAAACATCCAGCAAGCCAGAAAGATTTCTGGAGTTACAACCATTGATCTCGATGAAGAGACATGCACGTTTCACATCTATGGAGAGGTAAGCACTTTATCTGTGACTTTCTGCTTTACATAAATAGGACTGCAATCAGAATATGTAAGCCTGATTACGCACATCTGAGATTTTTGCGATCCTGTTTGAACTCCAGGACCAGGAGGCTGTACGGAAGGCCCGAAGCTACCTGGAATTTTCAGAAGATGTTATCAAAGTTCCTAGGAATTTAGTCGGTGAGGACAGATAAAATGAACAGCCTTCTCCTTCACATACTAGACCTGATGGTTAATAGGATTCGTTAAATTACTTTCTACAGGAAAAGTCATTGGCAAGAGTGGGAAGCTGATTCAAGAGGTTGTGGATAAATCGGGTGTTGTCAGAGTACGAGTGGAACCTGAAAATGACAAAAAGCCTTCTCCGTTAGAGGAGGTCAGTGAGTGGGTGGCTGAGTACAGAATTGCTGTATTTATGGATAGCAAAAGTGATGATGCTTAGAAAATGCATTAATTTATAGTAATTGGTGGGGACTGTGTTACAGCCAACTAATCAATTTTCTTAGCATTTTATTTTTGAGTATATTCCAATGGTGTCTACATGCAATTTAGGAAATAGGGAAGCAAAAATGAAGCTTTGTTTGTGTATGTAAAATGGTCTAATATACAATATCTCTTAACTGCAGGGTATGGTGCCATTTGTGTTTGTGGGAACAAAGGAGAGCATTTCTAATGCACGTATTCTGCTGGACTACCATCTGAACTATTTAAAGGTAAGAACCACTTTAGGTTGCCATGTTGAATGTTGTAAATATTAAAACTTTTTTCATTTCTAACTTCTATCATAAGAATGTTTTTGTCCCTTAAAAAAGGTTTATTTATTTATTTAAAAAAGCGTTCATTCTATTCTAATTTCTGATGTATAAATCGTACATTAAAAATCAATTGTGTTCCAAGGTCACAATATGAAAATTTTGTGTACAGACTACTTAGGTGATTATTTTTATTTTTTATTTTTTGAAGATGTTTTTTTTTTTTTTTTTTTTTAGATGATTTATAAACAAAAAAAAAATAAATAAATAAATAAAAATAAATGAAAAAAAAGTCTATTGTACAATGCACTGATATTATGTAGTTTCAAAATACAATATATTAACAATTTAATATAGAAAAAGCCAGCGTGGGTGTCTAATATACAGCATATGGGCCCTTATATGCGTCATTACTCATATAGCAAGTTATATCTCTCCAGCCCTTCGTTTGGCATGCTTTTCATGGACAGGCCCCTATGACAAACTAATTGAATAGCCCTGAAATAGAGGATGAAACACACTTCCTTCTGTTTTGCCCCAAACACACCACGACTAGAGAAATATTCCCCCCCCCCCAATTTCAGCAGTGATCAATACATTTTTTGCTTTAAATGACTCAGAAAAACTTTACCATGTACTCGGACAGGAGGAATTGACATCTGGACTAGCTGCAAAATATGTATACACGCTACACACCATAAGAAATGGTTAATGTAAGTTCATGTATCTTATTTAAATAATTTAAACTTTTTATTTTTATTATTATTATTATTATTATTATTGTTATATTTATCAAATGTATTGTTTTTTGTCATTATATCTTATCTGTATTATTATTATAATAATAATAATAATTAGACAGAGCGCATATGAGCTAAATGACGTCAGTAAATAACCGGTTATGATTATTACTGAACCGATACCGAATTGTCCACGTCTACATCGTGGTGCATCGAAAAAACAATTAATTTTGACACGCCCTATATATATATATATATATATATATATATATATATATATATATATATATATATATATATATATATATATATATATATATATATATATATATATATATTTGTGACCTATTTATATTTTCGAGCTGTAAAGATGAACTGTGCTGTGTTCACTGCCCTACAGTATGTGCTTCACGTCCATAAATGGTGAAGACTAGCTTTTTAGTAGCATAAAATGGCAAATTACTGTAGTAAAACCTGAATTAACCTGCATTTTAAAGTGTAATGACACCCCCCACTTTCGGTTAAGGTCTACCTCAGAATTTTTTCAAAAGATGCATCATAATGGGCGTGGAGCTCCGCGAGCAAAGGCCAGAAGTGGGTATGGAGAAGGAGGGGAGCGAACGACTGTTGTCAGCATTAGCCCTGTTGGTAATCTAGAGGATTTAGGCAAACACAGCAGCACGGCGATGTGTCTAAATGTGAACAAACTCCTGATAAAAGACAACGTTCTCCAATTCTCATACTGCGCTCCCAACAAAAAAATGCTTGCTGCACACAAACAGCTTTGCTGTATTAGCCCTGACAGGATCGCGGAGAAAAACATGCAACAAACCCCGTGGATCATGGAAACAAACACATACGACCCTTCATGAACGTCTAAATACTGTGTGTCGTGGGTCCGTGTCTCACAGCTTGGCACTGGCAGGTCTGCCTTGCCTTGAAAAGCACATGCAGTCATGAATAATTAAGAATCTACTGATCTAATATATATTTGCTTGTCATCGATGCAGTACATACTTCATAATTACGTTACATGTAAAATACTACTGTAAGTACTATAGTGTTTAAAAGCATACTATAGAATAGATAATTACTTGAATTAAACTGATTATATTGTTGCTGGTGTATGACAACTGTAGTTATAAACAAATTATTTAATAGGCTTCAGTTTTCTACACTATAATCACAATTCACCAGTTTAAACTACCGTTACAGCATTTATTACAGTTTGTCAGTTTACTATGCTACAGTATTCTGTAGCATTCATGAACAGAGTTGTACACATTATACTATGTGGTTCAAAAAAAATGTTTATTATAAAGTAATACAGTTAGTTTTTTTTCCCCCAATAGGATATCTCTCACACGTCCCACAATAACAGATGAAAGCATACAAAAGCGTAGACACATAGTCTACATTATTATTTATTTATTTTTAAGGGGTAAACAGTGCTCCACAATAACAACCATCTAGTTTTGTTGCAAGGGTTGCATTTCTTTTGTTGTTCTGTCGATGAACTTGCCATTAAACATTCACCGCTGTTGTGCATCTCAATGTTAATGCTACAATTGTTAATTCTGCCTAAACGCCAGTAAAGACTTTGAATATTGCAAAACAAGACCGATTTTTCTTTGCAACAATTACATGGCAGGGTTTGTTAATTATATTCTACTGGATCTGTATAAGCATGGTGGTGTTTGTTTCTGATTTTTATATAACACATTAACATATTTATACACATAGCTAGGCCTGTTTATAATCTTTATTATTGCTGTCAAATGAATTATCGCATTCAAAAAAGTTTGTACACATGGATGTATTGAAAAAATGTTTATTATATGCCAGCTTTTCTTCTGTTTTTCAGCCAGTTTCTTGAACTTCCGCCCCTTTATGAGTTAAAGCTTTTATAAGTCTATAAAAGCCATTTCTAATTTTGGCCAATTTAAACAGTTATAAACAACATAAAACAGAAATATTTTGATGTTCTGCCTCCCATCTGAATTTCGAGCGTCATCAATGATGTCATGTTAAAGCAACCTATAACAGCATAGTATTAAATTGCTTCACAGAATGCGCTGAAACACTTTTTTTTGCCAGCAGTGTTAATTTTGACAGCAAATTCTGATTTAGTCTTAGTGTTTGGAATAATACACCATTTAGTTTTAGTCCTATTTTAGTCATCTGAAATCTTTTAGTCTTAGTCTAGTTTAGTTGACTAAATATCATAAGAGTTTTAGTCTTAGTTTTGTTTTAGTAGACCAAATATTAGCAGATTTTTCTCCATAATTCACGTAATTGTAAGTATAATACAATATATGGAAGCATATATAGAATAAAGGCACATATCTAATTGTTGTAATAAAAACATTTTATTACATGTCAAAAACAAAAAAAATAACCATAAGACCTGCTCTCCCTGAACAATATACATGCTCCCTGAAAAAGATATGCATTGTCCCTGAATTATATGAAACGCATATGACATTCTTTCAAGATAAACTACAGCATTATTGAAATAGATAACCAATGAACTTCCTGTCTTCTACAGTCTTTGCAAAATCAAAAGCATAAAGAAATATAAAGTGCAATTCTCAAAAATTAAAATAACTGGTTGTAATGCCACTGCACAAGGTATCTAAATACAAAAAATAAAAATCACTACTGTAAATGTCCATGTACCTCAAGAGAAGTTAAATAACTTCTAAGACACAATGCCTTGCTACTCTGTAAAATCAACAAGATTTTGAACAGAACAAATTAGTGCAATTCTTAAATGTAGAACAAAAGATGTACTTTACTGCAATGCCACACAATGCCAAAAGAAATAGTCCTTAAAGTTCAAGTAAATAAAAACTCCTCTCTGCTCTCTCAGCAGTGAAAATACAGGTAAATCCCATTAAACAAACAAACAAACAAAAAAAAATGTATGTTAGCATCATTTTCTTCATTAGCGGTTACTGTCCTGTGTAAATTGTATACTACTACAGGAAATGTTGCAATAGTGAATACAATATTTCTATTTGTTTCTGTTCATCTTAAGGAAAGCACTTCGCTCCAATGTGACCCTTCCTCTGTTGCGCCGTCCTCTTGTGAGGTCACCTGTGATGCTAAATACCCTCTCTGCAAAAGCTTGAGAAGCGGGCATAGCTAACAAGTCTAATGCAAAAGGTTTTAAACTGTGGTAAACACTGTCACACTTTCCCAGCCAGAAGTCTGTTCCTGTGTCCTCAGTGATGGGATGGGAGAGTTTTTCCTTGTACTTGATAATCTGCTGCCTGATGCTGCTTGTGGAGGTTTTCTGTTTAGGCCTTATGGTGCGGCATTTTGAGAGAAACCTAAACACCGGCTGCTTTGAGGATGGCGCTGTTTCTGGTTCCTCAATAACCTCCTCTTCATCATTTTCAGACTGGCCCTCCTGTTTTGTGCATTTGACTACATAGTCTTCTGCCTGCTTTAGCAGTTCCTGGATATTTCAATTAGCCACATCAACATTAACAATGATTTCACAGACAGTTGGGTTAACAAAGCAGGCAGCTGCTGCAAGTGGTGAAAACTTTTCATCAGTTGTATCCAAGATGCCAGCAAAACGCTGGTTCAGATTTGATCTCATCTTATCTGCAAGAGTAGCGAGGTCTCTGTACCGAGTGTTCACTGCAAAGTCAGTTAGGTGGGTCAGCAGATCAAAGAGGGCAGGAACCACTAGACACATAGATGTGGTGTCACTCTGAAGAGTTTTAGTGTGTTCTGCAAAAGGCAGCAATAGGTTACGCAATGAGGAAAGCTTTTGCCACTCACTAGTAAGCAAACTGTCCCATCCCATGTCATTTGAGATTTGACAGACTGCATCTTTGACTTTGAGGAGTCGTGTGATCATGTTAAATGTGCTTGACCAGCGTGTGGGGCAGTCATTTACAACAATAACACCATATTGGTCCAATAACTTCTGTGTTGCAACAGAGGACTTGCGAAAGAGCTTCACCACAAACCTGGCTTTATCGAGAACTCTTTTGACAGTTGTTTCTTTTCGCAACATGTGGACCACCAGTTGTATGGTATGCACAACACATGGTGTCCAGTCCAATTCCATGTCGACATGAAGATACCTAACAATAAAAAAAAAAGAGAATCAAATAAGTCTAATCCTAATAAAGTGGCTGGTGTGCATATGTGTATACTGTATATATCTAGTGTGTGGCAGGGAGTAATAATTTATGTGATGATTGACTCTCAGGAAAAAGAATAAAGTAAATATGGCTTACCGCTGGTCATCGATTTCAGAGTCACTTTCGATCATGGACCCAGGGGAGTCGTCCTCAGAGCTGGTTTCTTCTGCTGTGGTGTTTTTAACGGCTGCCACCATGTTACTCCCATTGTCAGTTATTACCATCAGGATCTTCTCCTTTGGTATGGTCCACTCTTGCATGCATTTGTCCACACATGCCTTAATAGCCTCTGCAGTGTGTGGGTGACCTACTTGTTGAAGGGCCAACAATATGTGTTCAGGTTTACTTTTTTCAACACAAAAGTAGCATGCACTTAGAGCAAGGAATGAGGCTGTCAATCCTTTTTTTTGTCCACAAGTCAAGGCCAATGGATACTTTCTGGGCAGTAGCCAGACTCTCTCTGAACTTATGTCTTTCATGTTTATACTGTGTTTCAATTAAATTGCTAATTTTAGTTTTCTTTGGAACTGTTAGTCTCCCATCTACCATCCTCATCATTAGCACATTGTCCTCATACTCAATTGTTGTGAGTGGTAAACCTGTCCGTCCAATCCATCTAGCTATGGCCTGCTCCTTGGTCTGTTGTTCCTTTGATTCAGTCTTGTACTTTGAAGACCTTAGGAAATCTGAGATGGCCTGCTGCTGTGTTGTAATAGTAGCAACACTAGCTTTATTTCCACCTGGCCCACGGTCATCAGACATCTTCTGTATCTATGGGGATATATAAATGATATACAAAGTTGTGATATTTTCTTCTTTCTTGCCATATAACACACACACACACACACACACACACCTTTTGTTGAGTCATATATAACACCACAACATCTATTATAATAGTGCACATATTTATAATAATTAATTCAGCGAGACAATTCGTTTAATCAATACTATTCAAAGTTAATTTCCTTTGGCTTCAATTTTATTCCAAGTTTAGCAGAATCACGGTGGTTTATCTTAACCTTAACCTTAACGTTAGAGTTTATGCTTGCCTTGGTATGTATTTCTGGATGAGCTGTCTGTAAATGTCGCTTCAAGTTGGTGGTGTTTTTCCCAGCGATTTTTACTCCACATGGTTTACAGACACTCTTGTTGTCCTTGTTGTCATATGTTAAGTTTTACCAGATGTTAATTCTTCGTTTTCGTCCTAGACCAAGCTCTGACATTTCTGTCTGTCTGTTCATGAGACACTGCCCTCGGACCGAGTGAACAAAACTTTAGCGTGTTGCTAACAAGAAAAGTCAACTTAAATTAACTAAAGCTTTGTAATCAAGTATAATGTGTAACTAAATATAATGTATAACAAACGTTCTCATAACTTGAAAACCACGGCTTTTGAAAATGGCTTTGCCAAGGTCAACCTGCCCTCAAAAGATTCGCTCTGATTGGATTTCCCCACAAAAGGGTAGTTCTTATTGGATCTCTTCTCCATTCGTCCCGCCCCAACATTTTCCTCTCGTTTTTATTCGTTGACTAAAGTGTCAGTTAAATTTCGTCATCGTATCTGACTTTTTATTTAGTTTTCGTCTGTAAAAAATGTTCGTTGACGAATATTTTTCGTCATAGTCTTCGTCAACAAAATTAACACTGTTTGCCAGTCATGGTTTATATTTTCAATCTATATATTATTAAGAAAAGTTACAGAATAACACAAAGCTGTTTTTTAGCATATAATTTATGTTTGTTCAGTGTTTTACTTTGGTTAGTACCACATTTTCTTCAGAAAATGTAAATGTAGAGATATGTTCCAATTTTATGTTTACAACATGGGTCTCAAACTTAATTCCTGAAGGGCTGCAGCTCTGCACAGTTTTGCTCTAACCCTATTAAACACAGCTGATCCAAATAATCAAGGTGTTTAAGTTGTATCAGCTGTGTTTGATCAGGGTTGAAGCAAACCTGTGCAGAGCTGCAGCCCTCCAGGAATTGAGTTTGAGACCAATGGTTTACAGGGTTTTGTTAATGCTCCTTACAAAGCAGAAATTGTTAATTATACAATAATTATACAAGTTCATATTTCCTTGTATTGTTCAGGAGGTAGATCAGCTACGAATGGAGAGACTGCAGATCGATGAGCAGCTTAGACAGATCGGTGGAGGACCCAGAGCTTTGCCGGGACGACCCGAGAAAGAAAAGTCTTTCATGGCTGATAATGGAATGGGACCCTCGCGAGGTGGAGGCAAACCTTTTGGTCGAGGAGGACGAGGAAGACGAGGCCCAACGCTGGCTTCAGGTAGAAATGGCCTCAAATTAATATTATAGCTTTTTTTATTATTTAATTGTTTATTTTGCTAGGACAGTGTACATTAATTAACATCAATAAACCAGAATTAAAAATGCCAAAATGCCACTTTATATCTGTTGTCCCTGGAAAGATGGTAAAATTGTATCCCTAAAAACAATATGAAAATTATACAATTAACAAGCAATTAAGGAGCAATAAAATGGATATAGTTTTACAAATTATGATAAATGTCAATTGTATATAGAGACAAAACAAACTAAAATACCAACAATATGTAAAGGAGACAAGAATTGTACACATACATAAACATACAATTCATCAAGATGGCAGACACAAGTTTAACCCGCAATGCGATACAGTCCTGATATTTTGCCCCTGAAAATACTTTTATTACTTGGTTCTCTGGATAACATGATTCTGTTTAGACCATTACAACATTCTGAGGTTAGGTTGTTAAGAACATCTCTGATAACAGCTAAGTAAACTAAAAACACAAGACTCTAATCATGCTTTGAGGGTGCTATAAATTATCTTGATAGTTAATGAAAATATACACTCACTGTATATATACAGATATGCATTCATGAATGTATGTATGTATGTACAGCTTAGGTTTTATTCTGAAAAAGAAAATGCTCAATAAACATTTTTCCTTGCACATTCATGCGTAAAAACAGTTTAGAGTTTATTTAATAATATTATGGCATAATAATATCAATTAATACAAGTCAGTAAACCGTTTTTCTGGTCTTATTATTATTATTTTTATCGTCAGGGTGTCCACGGGGTCTTAAAAAGTATGAAAGTTAATAAATCAATTATGAGAAAATTAAAGCCCTAAAAAGGTATTAAAAAGTCTAAATTACGTTTTAATAATTAAAATTTTTGTTCAAGCGTTGTCCGTAGTGTTTGACTCCAAAAACCCACAAATATATTTATTTTCCTTCTAATGTTAACAATGGCGTGCTTGATCCACGCGATTGGTTTGGGCCGGGGCGCTTCTGGCCAAGCTCCTCCGTCTGGGTGATGTCACGTAATTTGCATTAAAACGAGAGATGGTGATGTGACGCTCTCTACATGTAGCAAAACCATAGAGTGAAACAGACGGCAAAATGAGAAAATGTTAGTTTGTGTACTTCTAAATAGAAAAAGATGAGTTTAAACAGTGGCTGAAGCCTGTCGCTGGAAAATAACCGCATAATTTATTCTTTCAAGGTTTGTTTTTCTTGAGCTTATTTGACTTTGTTGCATAATTGTGCACCATTGATTTATGTAACTACAACTGTTTATTAACAACTTTTTATTAAGTTAAAAGTTTAGATTGAAACTTGATTAGAAAAAATAAGACTTTCTTCATAAGAAAAAATATTATCAGACATACTGTGATAAATTCCTTGCTCTGTCAATTACAGAAATAAAGAAATAAAATTCACAGGACTGCTAATAATTTTTACCAAGCACTAATATTGATACTTCGTGCCACACTATCAATTTTCTGTATAAATGTATTGTCCTATCCCTAATGATACATTTTAATCAGTTCTATTTTATTTATTTTTGTCTCAGGCACCAACTCCGAGGCATCTAATGCATCTGAGACTGAATCAGACCACAGAGATGAGCTCAGTGACTGGTCTCTAGCCCCCACAGATGAGGAGTCTATGGGTTATCCCAAAAGGGCCCCTGATGGACGCAAAAGGGGTGGGGGGCCCCGTGGTCGTGGGGGTAGAGGAAGAGGAGGATACAAAAGTAAGTTTCTAAAGCTGTTACCTCTATAAAGGCAATTTACAATGTTTCTCACCATATTTACATGTGTGTGTGTGTAATGGAATTATTAGCCCTTTTATTTGAAATTTTTTTTTTTATATTTTATATAAAATTTTAAGGTCAATATTATTAGCCCCCTTAGGTTTTTTTTTCTCGATTGGCTACAAAACAATGTTATCCTATTTGATAATTGCCTAATTAGCCTAACTTTATTACTGAATACTAGTATCTTCCTAAATAACTAATATAGTATTATCTACTGTAATTTATGGCAAAGACAAAATAAATGAGTTATTAGAAATTAGTTATATACACTTATGTTTAAAATGTGTAACAAATAATAAATATTGTCATGTAATGAATATCTCTGTTAAAAACATACTTGTATATAATTAAATATTTGAAAAAAAGATTTAAAAATGAACAGGAGGGCTAATCTTTTTATTATTGATTTATTTATTTATTTATTTTTCAACTGTATATGTTTGTTAATGTCAAGAGTTCTACATAAATTAGCCTGTTTTCTTAATAGTATTTGTTTTTCTCTCTTATTAGCTGAGGACATGCACTGGAATGATTCCCGCTCCCGTAGTTCCAGAGACTCCAAGCTACGACCCCAGGAAGAGTCACTGCAGGTCTCACAAAATCTTTACTATTCTATTTGTATATTTTGTGAATGAATAAAAATATGTATTTTTAAATATACCTTAGTAGTCAATAGCTGTCGTCTAAATGTAGTCAAAGTACAGGACATGTAATTTTTTAGACTGATAGTTTAAAAATGCATAATTTATTTATCTGTATAAATTAAATTCTACTCTTCCTGTCACTATATGGAAACGTTGCAGGACATTAAATAATTCTCAGAATAATAGTCTAAATAATAAATAATCATGCAAAATAATCATAACAAATATATTTTTTTAATCATTTAGAACAGCTATGTTGTTGCATACAACAAATCAAAAGTTTACAGGTAATTTCAAGTGTATCAAATATTCAGAAATTGAAAGCGAACCAGAAAAATGTTAAATAAAATGTTTGTGTTGTATAGTTTGTACAAAAACATGACAAACAAAAAAAATTTCTTTAATTTTCTTTATATTTTCTTTTTTATTAAGGGGTGATTTTCTTTTTTCAAATAATCTTGCTTATTATTGTCATACTTAAAAAAGTGCCAACATAGTTAAAATTAAGGCCGTTTTGTCTGTAAAAAAAGCTCTGCAGAACTTTTTTTTTAAGTATTATTTATTTATTTTTGCTTAAATTTGACCTCAATGGACTGAACAGCAGAAATGAACCAGGAAATATTTAGGAAATACCATTATTATTGCCCCTTAATAAATTATTATATTTTTGATTGGCTGTTGTTCAGTGACTTATCTAATAAACTTGCCGAGTTCTTATTAAGCTAGTTAAGCCTTTACATTGCACTTTAAGGTGAATACTAGTGTCTTGCAAAATAATTGTATAATATGATGTACTGTCACCTCGACAAAGGACAAAATAAATGAGTTAATATCAGGCACCAAAAAGTCAATGTTGTAATTGCAACCTAATGCCTGATTCACACAGACCTTCTGCATCAATGCTTGACGGAGGGTGTGTTGGAATTTGAAACTGATGCGATCATCATGAAACTAGCATCAGCCAATGAAATTAGTTCGCAATCGGCTATTGTTTGACCTGAAGAATTTGCATAAACCAATTTGAATGGCTGATGCTTTCATTTGCGCTTAAAGTTAAGAAATTCTCAACTTCCTTCTCTTTCCCGTTCCAAAATCAGTTCGGCAATGCTTGACGTCAAGCTGGATGATATGTAATATTTATTGACTACTATTTGACAACACTATTGTCAGTAACAAAAAAAAAATTGTTATGAAGGCTATAGTTTTGATAAAATGTGTTCCTTTTTATTAAAATTGGTTTCTTTTTTTAAAATATCAGCTTTGATTATCATAATTTGTTTTGTTTACAGAGTTTGAAGTTTACTGTATCATTATTATTCACACCTTAAAGATGTTGATCTTTAACACTTATGTTTATTTTAATATAAAGATATCAGATATTTTGTTTAAACACTTGTTTTTGACTATCAAATCTATTTGCCTTAGTAATGTTGGTAAATTAAAGTAGTTAACAAGAAATTATAATATTCCTAAATGTATTATTAAAAGATATTCAATAATTATCGATATCGAATGATATGAAACATGATATCATGATATTTGTTTTTTTGCAAAATCGGCCAGTCCTAGCTTTACCTCACTAATTCAAAGTGAATGGAAAGCATTGACGCCCCATGTGAATGGGGCATAACTGTTATAACATACTTTTAAAATGCTCTGTTTTTAATGTTATCAGACAATGATTTTTAGGTGTTTAAATGAATGTTGTTTTTATATTAGAATTGTTTTTAAATGTGAACCCTGCGAAAGTACCGTTTACTTAAAGAGCCCATATTATACATGAAATAGGGTCATATCTTGGTTGTAAGGGTCTCCAACAACAGTCTAATATGCATGCAAGGTCAAAAAACACTTTCATGGTCTTATAATATGCATTTATTTTTATCTAATTATCCCAGCGACTCCCGTATGAATCGTCCAGTGATTCATTTGTTCCCAAACCCCTCCTTAGCGCGAAGCTAATCTGCGCTGATTGGACCGATGACAGTCTGTCGCGATTGGTCGACTGCCTTCAGTCAGAGAGCGAAATGGCCAATAGCCAATCAGCAATATAAAAGTAATCACAGTTCATACACGCTCGATAGTGTAGGCGTGGATTTTAGCTGCCACACACACACAAAAACACACACACACACCTCCGGACGACAACGCTCCTGCTTCCGCCCGCACCCGCCAGGTTTTAGCCTAAGAACCCGCTCCGTTTTCTGCCCGCCGCGCCCGATCCCGCTAGAGCGGGGGACCAAAAATCACCCAGCTATACAGTCCAGACAGCCAAGCTGTCTGTATAAACACAGCACCAAGCACAAAAAGCTCGTTTGCAGTCTCTCTCTCTCTCTCTCTCTCTCTCTCTCTCTCTCTCTCTCTCTCTCTCTCTCTCTCTCTCTCTCTCTCTCTCTCTCTCTCTCTCTCTCTCTCTCTCTCTCTCTCTCTCTCTCTCTCTCTCTCATACGCGCGCGTGCGCACTAACAAGCACGAAGCAGACACATCTTTCTCATTCGCATAGCAATATCCGTGATATTGCTAGACAGCCCGCTCCCGTCCCAAATTAAACCCGTTACCGACCGCTCCCCGCGATTTATTCGGAAATTTATTCCCATTAGCTGGATACTTCACTTCACTTAGAGCTGTGTTACACACTACATGGAGGGGAATTTTCAAAAACCCATAATATGGGCTCTTTAATCTTAAAAACCTCTTTTAGATTTTCATCATATTTTATGTATTATTTATTGTAAAGTTTACTTAATGTTATAAACTTTTTTATTATAGAAAAGTGTTTTTTCTTAAATGTTTGTTAATTTCATTGGGTTTTTTTCTGCCATTAAATAGCCCGAGAAGCTGAAATGGCTATAAAATTAAAAGTTCCCTCATATCAATTATTTGTTAACTATTATGTTTAAAGATGTTTGAAACTTGAAACACTTTTCTTCTGCGTAGTCCCTGATTTATTAGTGTAAAACATATGCCAGGGTAGTTGGCGATTCATTCTGCTGTGGCGACCCCTGAATAAAACCTCTCTTTGTTAAATAGCATTTCAAGAGTTCACACTTAGATACTGTTTGACAACTTGTTAGCAAGTTAGCAGGTTTGGCATGCTGTCCCGGGAGAGAACCCTGAGCTCGGAGATGGTTGAGCCCAGGGTTCCCGCCAGGTCCATAAAGCATGTGAGGGGAGTACGAGGTCAGGTGTTCTCGAGAGCTCCCCTCGGCAAAAGAGGAAAGGAGGAGAAGGGGTGGATGGGGGGTTTCTTCGGAAAACGAAGATAAGGGTGTACATTTTAGCTAGGTTATTTATAGTGGGTTTGGATCGTTCCGATTGGCTAGCTAATGAGCTTAGATGAGTGGCCGGCTGCAGTCAATCATATCACGTGCTCCTCTCGAAATTAGTTTATGAAACTTCATTTCAAGAGTTCACACTTAGATACTGTTTGACAACTTGTTAGCAAGTTAGCAGGTTTGGCATGCTGTCCCGGGAGAGAACCCTGAGCTCGGAGATAGTTGAGCCCAGGGTTCCCGCCAGGTCCATAAAGCATGTGAGGGGAGTACGAGGTCAGGTGTTCTCGAGAGCTCCCCAAATGCATGAGACTCGGGACAGCAGCCGTGTATTCGAAGAAACTCCCCGAAAGGCTTGAAATGCTATATCCGGCTGCTGGATATAGTGGTTGAAAGTGAAGGGGCTCCGATGGGAGCCAAGGGGGATACGGGCTCTTACGGGAGCCCGTGCCGAGTTGGCGTGGGCTATAAATACTCCAGCTGGATTAGAAACTAAGGGAAACCCCAGCGGGGGTCAGAGCTGTGGGATGGACGGGGATCCAGTTGGAGTCAAATGATGAGGAGTGAAAAGTGAGGACTCCAGCTGGATGAGGGGGTTACTAGGGCTGTGGGGGGGTCAGGGGCTCCTAAGGAGTAATTGCTCGAGGAACACTACTTGCGGAGATAGAGCTGTGAGGTGACAGCACTATATATAAATATATATGTATATGCGATATATAGATATATATATATATAATGGGGAAAACTAAGGCCTTGGGGGGGCGATTTTACTTGACTCCAGTGGGAGTCTAGCTCTTTTGGGCTCTCCAGCGGGAGATAGAGCTGCAAGTGCCATCTCCAGCTAGGGACGGGAACGATGGAGGGCGGGTGGAGGCCCCAGCTGAAGGGTGAGTGGCGGTTGGGCGATGACCCCTGCGGGGGTCGAATGCTCGGGAGCAACTCTTGCTTAAGTTAGAGCTTGAGGGTGACAGCACTATATATAAATATATATGTATATGTGATATATAGATATATATATATATATAATGGGGAAAAACTAAGGCCTTGGGGGGGCGATTTTACTTGACTCCAGCGGGAGTCTAGCTCTTTTGGGCTCTCCAGCGGGAGATAGAGCTGCAAGTGCCATCTCCAGCTAGGGACGGGAACGATGGAGGGCGGGTGGAGGCCCCAGCTGAAGGGTGAGTGGCGTTTGGGCGATGACCCCTGCGGGGGTCGAATGCTCGTGAGCAACTCTTGCGAGTGTTAGAGCTTGAAGGTGACAGCACTATATATAAGTATATATTTATATGCGTGGGTGCATATTGATATATAGATATATAAATAAATTTAAAAAATAAAAGATAAATGTGAAAAATTAATAAGAAATAAAGAAAAATAAGGTCTAGGGCCGGGGAGGGTCAGTGACTCGTGCTCGTGTCACAGCTCAGGGTTGGGTGAGCTAATTTTGGCCAACTCCAGTAGGAGTCGGGAGAGATGATGGGGAGATGGAGACTTCTACTGGAGGGTGACGGGCGGAATAGGTGCTCTGGGAGTGTTCCAGCGGGAACTGAGCATGAGGGTGGCGGCACTATATATAAATTTATATTTATATGCGTGGGTGCATATGAATATACATTTATATAAAACAAATCGAACAGAGAAAATAAATAAAATAAGACTATATTATATAGCATT